TGGGCCAACACAAGGGGCACATGATCTCCATCAGTGTGGTCACAAGCATCCTTGTAGGTCTGTATGAGTATGGACAGTTAGTGAAGAAATGAAATGCAAGAAAGGTGTGTACCTTGTGTCCCTGTAGGACACCACATTCTCCCATGCATGCAGGCACCGCCAACACCAGTGCAGGCTGCACCTGGCAAATAGGATTGTGCCTGCTTTGTTGAGGGCAATGTGTGTGCAGGTGGTCAACTGTGACCCACCTGATGAGTCACTTTGGACCACCATTGAGTGAGTAGGCATCAACACTCTGGTCAGAGAGCCCCCAGAGCTGGAGCTGCTCTGAATTGGAGGGCATCTTGTGCACAGAGGGCTGCAGCCAGTCCTTGTCTTGCTGTAGACAAAAGAGTCAAAACAATACCAAAATCAAACAAAAATAAAACATGGAAGGAATTGATGAATCATCTCTTCAAGTAAAGGATCATCATCGTCTTGGTCATTCAGGGTCAGCAGTTGAAGTTTGCATGATGGGGTTGGCAGTTGAAGTTTGTGTGATGGGGTGAGAAGTTGAAGTTTTGCAAGGGCACAATGGGGTCAGCAGTTGAAGTTCATGTGATGGGGTCAGCAGTTGAAGTTCACATGATGGGGTTGGTGGTGAGGGAGAAGATGATCACTCCATAGGCCTGGGCTTCTTTCAATGGTGAGCTGCTTCTACATGTCTTGCCCATCTGATCATTTTGAAGTTAGTATCAATAGATAAGATGAGGAGTGGGAGATGTATGATGTGTTGTGGTAGGTGGTGAAGATGGCAAACAGCTCATCCTTGTGCATTGACACTCTGACAAAGTTGATGTAGACACAGAAGAGCCACTGATAGAGGATGTCCACACCTTCACACACATCATCAGTGTAGATGTGGGTTTTGAAGTTGTGTACCTTGCTGTTGTATGTCCAGTGATGGTAGTGGTGGAGGTAGAAGTTAGTGGACTTGTCATTGCCAAAGATCATCTGCTTGTCATATTCAAGGGAGGAGGCTTCTTCAAGTGATGACACTGCTTGTATCTGCATGTTGAGATTGTTGAGTGATACACATACTTTGTATGGGTGCTCCTATAAAATTGATTAAAGAAATCAAATGGATGATACTTTTCAAGGGACATACCAGTTTGACCTTGCACCATCTTGTGACATTCTCAAAGATGGACTTCCACCTATTTCTGTGTTTGTAGTGGCTCAAGGCATTGGTGGCCATCTCCCTATTTGGGATAGGTGAGCAAAGCAGCATCCCAAC